GGGCTACTGTAGCGTCTAAACTGAGAATTCAAAATGAATGCACCAAAGGGGGCATAACAAGGGTGAACAATTTCCTCATCTACATGAGATCAGAGCTGAAATGACTTTATGAACAAAGCAAACTACAGCTCTCATGAAACTTTACAGGCACAGCAGCTCAGGTAGCTACATCTCTGCTCACGCTAATCTAAATACATATACAGCCCACTCTTTCTGCTCTTATTACAGACTGATCTGACCACAGGTCTTTGACTCAGACATGGACTTCCTCCTTCTTTAGTTGAGCTGTGATGTGTAGCTTACTATAGTCTGGGGACCTGTGGGAAATTGTGTTAATTAAAGGCGCTTAAACACTGAATAAATACTATTGAATTGTTTTACATGTATTGATTTGCTGTCCTTCTTGAAACATATGAAGTGAGCCACATGAATCTTGAGTAAATCGATATCGCAATGTTAGATTTTTCATTTGCATTATAAAAGATTCATCCATCCATCATATTTACCACTTTGAGGGTCACAGGGATCTGGAGCCAATCCCAGATGAAATTGGGCGAGAGGCGGGGTACACCCTGGACAGGTCACCAGTGTAACGCAGGGCCAACATACAGACACAACCAGTCAGACTCACATTCACACCTACAGTCAGATTAGAGTCTCCAATTGACCTAAAGGTTCAGTGTGTAGAATTTAAGGCCATCTACTTGCATGTTGCAGCTGAATACCCATCACCTCACCCCCAAACATGAAAGAGAACCTGTGTAAAACTTCAGTTGTCATAAAACTCAAAAGGTGTTTCGTTTTTTCTAGTTTGGACGACTGTTAAAAACATGGCAGCCTCTGTAGAGAGTACCCCCTCCTGATGTAAACATAAAGGATCCATTCTAGGGTAAAGAAAACAGCAATTCGTACAATTCAGATGATCAGAAACAAGTGAAAAATGAACTGGCATTATTTTATATTAAATTTCTACACACTGGACCTTTAATCTACATGTCTCTGGACTGTAGGAGGAAGTCTGAGTACCAGACCAAACCAACACAAACACAGCAAGAATGTGCAAAAACTCCACACAGAAGAATTCAACTGGGAACCTTGTTGCTGAAAGGATACAGTGCTGAGCACTGCACCGTACCACCCCATTAAGAAAACAGTCAATGAGACTTTCCTCTTGTGTAGTGAAGGTTGTCCTACCTCTTAGAAACCAAAGAGACAACAATATTATTCCATGTGCTTAAAAAATCTAAAGACTAGTCCTGGTGAAGTGATCTGAGGTCAAAACCCTGCAAAAGTAAATACTTGAAAATAACAACGTAGATCTCCAGATTGATTATTAAGTGGTTGCCACCTGCTGTTTACTTTATCTGGTAAATAGGTGGGAAAGAGAAGCCAATAGAGAGAGAGAGAGCGCCAGCAGCTCCCCTCATCTGGAGGTCAAATGGGTTCCCTCTCATTCCCCTCACACTTAACAGTGACCGGTCACATCAGCGAGCGGCTCTCAGCCTCTTTGATGCTCTTAAAGCTGAGCTCCCTCTTGGATGGCCATTTGACTATATTTGTCTTAGCAGGATGGGCTCAAAGAAAAAAAAAACAAAGCAGAGATGATACCTTGGGTTTTGACTTCTCTACGTCTAGAGGCGAGAGCATGGCAGAACCCAACTGAAAGAGTGAGGGGGTAAAAAAGAAAACGAAAGGAGGGAATGATTCCATGAGGCCAAATCAAACTAGTAAATCTTAAAGCAGACTCCATTAGGTCAGAGTGTCCAGCTCTGGACGCCAGCAGCAAATCAGAGGACTTAAGCATCGGGGTTGTTGTACTCGTGCCGTCGGCTCATTAGCAGATCGATCACACTTCTCATTAGCACACCTGTCACGAACGGGTAATTTGTACCCTTCCTGCATCAAATTGAATTTTTTAATCTCTTCCCTGGCACTATAGTTGATCTTAGCAAAGAACGGTCAGATAGAAATGTAGCTCACGGACTTTATTCTTGTTGTGGTGTATCAATATGACCCTCTTCATATCAATGTGACATAATCAGACCTACACACACACACACACACACACACACACACACACACACAGTATCCTAACGTCAGCTGGGGAGCCATGCAAACCACAAATGAAAGCACATCAATACCAGCAGCAATACCAATAGAGTAGTGGTAACAAGATGTGAGGAGAGCTGTGACTGTTCGGACCAGTGCTGTGGTTGTGAATTTAACTGTGATGATTTTATATAAATTCAATTCAACATTAACATAGTAGGCCAACTTTGGTAAAAGCATAGCTACTGGGTGCCGTGGTGTCGAGCTTGTGTCCCATTTAGTGAGGCTTCGGCCCTCCAGCTGCCAATGCTTCGAGTCTGGCTTCGTTTGCTGCATTATCCAACTCTCTCCCCTTTCACGTTTGAACTGTCCCACCAAATAAAGGCAAAATGCCCAAAACATCTTAAAGAACCAATAGTACATACATATCTTGTATCTAAATTGAAAAAAATGCACATGTTCAGCATTTACTAAATTTTTGGCCACTTGCGGTCATTAAAAAACAACAACAACACAGACATGTGTTGGCAAACATTTGGCTGATTAGTAGTCAGGGTGATAGGTGGTTCACTGCAGCAAGGGCATTGCTTCCAGTTTTCACCCATTTCTATCAGCTTAAATAGTCTCTAAATGCCTTTTTTCAGTCCTGTATGATAAAGGACACCTCGCACATAAAACATTACCTCAGCCCCTCTCTGGAGTTTGGTAAACTGGCATTAAGCAAATGACCTAAATAAACCCAAAGCACCACTTTGGGCGATGTGGATAAAATCCGACTCTTTGGGGTGGAGGTTGGGGCATTTTCACCTCATGTGATCCAGATCGAATTGTTTAATGACAGTATGAACAGCACAAATCACATGGAATCAGATTTGGCCACTTCCATAATGTGGTTCTAAATCAGATACGGATCAGATGTTTTTGATATGCGACCTGAGTCTGAACAGCCATGTGACCTGTATGCGAATTCAATGCAACCTTTGCGTCACTCTAGATCAACATTCCTCGTAATGTTTTAGACGTCTGTACAAGCAAAACCTGAGGGGTCATATTGCAACTGGTCTGTGTTTGAATGCATATCAAGAGAAAAATGAAACCGTGCTGTGTCTGACGTCTTGTTGTTCTTCTGTGCATGCAAGTCACATCAGGACCAAGATGACGTGAACAGCTACATAAAAACAAAGGATCTAGGAAAAAATCTGAATTGAGCTTGCAGTGTGAACATCCTTGACTGCAGCATATCACGTCTCCTGATGTCTGCATCCCTGTGAATGTGTGCAGCCAGAAACTGGCCAACAGGAGGGATTAATTCCGGGACATGCACCATGTAAATTCCATAAATTCACACCTACTGCCCAGGGCCCATGCAAAACCGTACAAGGTTTACAGTCCAGACAGCTTCAGGTCAAGTACTCATTGCAAAGATGTCTCAGAGAAAATAAAGGAAGCACCTCAGTTTGGTTTGAGAAGGAAAATGAATTATAGGCAAAACACTTTACACCTTCAGAAATCATTTAACATGTCAGTAGCTGACAAAGGGCTCCAGTTTTTATTTGCCTCTCTCTACTGGTCACAGCAAAACTAAACTAACACTTCAAGATGCTAAAGGATCTATAATTATAAAAACATGAATCTACAGATAGATAGATAGATAGATGGATAGCCTCAGAATAACACTGTCATTACACAAGAGGTGATAAAATCAATCAATCAATCACTCAATCAATCAATCAGGGGGATGCCTGGCAAAGATGTGGTCTACTAGGCAAAAGCTATTGGCCAAGAAAAAGATCATTATAGTTACGACAAATAAAAGCAAATAACCTCCATTAAACCACAACATGTCTTTTACATTCCTATCATACACATCAAACAAATAATTATGTTGATTTGTAAACTCTAGATTTGCTGTTATGCATCTTTTAACATCTTATGACACAAGCTTAAAGCTAGGGTTTAGAAAAAAGCCGTGACCCATAAACACATACAACTGCTAAAAGCTGACTTTTCTTTGACTGGCTCGGTAACTTCTTGCTATCGTCTCTGCTTCAGTGGTGTATGTCCCTCTGGCTGAAGACTTTGAAGTACCAACCCAACCTTTACGTTTACATCAGTCTTCATCTCATTTAACTTTTGGCAAGAAAGCAAAACAGTGGTAGAAAGTTTGAACTCTCCAAGGACGGTAGGAATCAGTTGCTATTTAAAAGGCCTATATTAGTTATCCTGACAATAAATATAATAATGATTAGCATCATAACAACTGGCTTTTATATATGAAAATAAACACTTGCTATGATGGAAGGGTAGGGTCAAGGCTGCACCGAGGACTGAAGTGAACATTGGAAACTTGGTGTTTCTTGTTGCTCTATTTGTTTGCTTAACGGTAAATGGATTTTCAAAAGCTTGGTCTGGTATTAATTTAAGATGCCTGTTGTGACTACTTGGCTGTGCGCAGGTTTTTCAAATGAGCTTTTGCTTTATAGCTTGTTTGGAGACAGACGTCTGCAGGAGAGAAGGCTCCAGCAGCAGGCTGACTATTTGTATTGTAAACGCTTGTTGATTCTCGGCTTGAGGTTGCTTCCTGTCTGCCCCACAGCCAAAAGTTAACTCCACCATGGGAGCAGGGAAGGGGCTCAATTCGAGAATTTTCTCTTCAAATCCCGGACTGAACTTTCAGCCCTCAGCAAAGCAAAGCCTCCTGAAATTTCTGCCTCAGCAACACAGCTTGCTACAATGCTCCCATCATTTATGCATGAAATATGAAATGCACTGCATCTGAAGTGCAAAGGTGGAGGGGAGGCAGGAGGATTTGAGAATGAAAGCTAAGAAAACAGCATATTTTGTGCCAACAATGAGGTGTAGAATTCAGCATTTAGCTCTGCAGCATTAATATTCTAAAGTGGAAATTAACTCCTCTGCTGCTGCAGTGAACAGTGGCATGATCCACTCACTTGTTTTGGTGCTTTGAGCCCTGCAGGTGTGCGTGGTACTGTGCCACCGAGTTCAGTGTGACGCTGCACACTTCACAGGTGTAGCTCCGCTTCAGACCTGGCATCAAACACAAACACAAAATGAATCAGTCAAGGAAATAAACAGACCTGAAAAACACATCTTCAAGTACACTGGAGTGAGGAATGTAAATTAAAATAATTCAATTTTCATCATACAATAGAAAATACAGTGTGAAGAATTCATTAAAGCGACACAGCCTCTGTGAAAAACACATTCACACAGACACATGTGAGTACTGTACTGTGGGTGAGCTTTCCTGTGTTGTTTTTGAGATTGCTTTGCTGATACAGGCTGCTGGGAATGGACGGGCAAAAATAATTTAGAACTGTGCAGACAATGACAGTTCATGCATTTTAAATCACAGGGAGATACAGTTCACAGCTGAAGCGGACAGCTGGCACTTGAGGCTTTAGCTTTTTTTCAGTAAAAAGATAAATAAAATGTAAACTGGCTCAGCTTCTTCTGAAACACAGCATCATCCAGCATCACACTGTGCTGGCCAATTAAAGAGCACATTCCTGTAGATTATTTTATAAGGTGAATGCTGTGATTCCACTATTTACCCTGTGACAGCTAAGATGCTGTCTTATAGTATTAAAGAGCTATTTTATACATTGTATTTATGTATTATAAAGTTTGAGAGATGCACAGCAAAGTCTGTCTTACAATGCAGGATGACAATAAAAGTGTTTTATTTTATACAAACTGGTGTGGCTTGACACCCAGGGGTGGGGCCAGTGAGACACTAGCAATACTATTAACAAATTTAACTGTATGTCAATAATTTTTAAATTTCTAAGCTTTATAAGTATGTGTTTGAACAAGGAACACTCAATAAATTATAATTAATTATCATAATAATCAATGACACATTAAACCATGAATTACTTTAATGTGCACCTTAGTGAATCGGGAATTATTGATGTTGGACAAGTAATCTGCCCGTCTGTGTGTATTATTAGAAAATAACAAGAAGAACAAAATATCTTGCTGTGATACATGTGACTGCTGCTTGGCTGTTGTTTCAGGACCATGGACAGCTCAATTTGCTGGGTGTAGTGTGTGTGTGCAATAAGTAAAAACCTGAAATATCAAACTTTTTTCACTCATGTTTCAACTGATCATTGATGCGCTGGTTCGTTAAGCTTTAAATGAAGATACATGTTAGAAAATGATTTTGTAAGAAGCAACAAAACACGTCGGAGAATCCAGCCAATGCCAGCAGCGGCGAGGTTGAGCTGAAGTCGAGCTAACTCCACCACCTGTGGCAGAAGACGTTTCTCTGGGAGCAGCCCCTTTAATAGGTCAACACAGCCTCCACAGTCCCTTTTCTCTGATTAAGAAACAGTTGCCTTGCGATGCTGTAAATCAGCCTTTCCAGGGTTTTGTATGTTGAATCAATTGTTTTTATTCAGTGAAAAGAAATTGCCACCTTGCAATTTATAACAGCCCCTCAGTCACTTCAGCAAGGCCTGACACTGTGGCATATGAAGAAGCCTTCAACAAAGCCCTGTGTCCTTAAAACACACAGCTTTTTATGTTTATGTTACAATTCTGTGATAGCACGATACACAAAGTGAAGTTGAAACTGATCAGAATTTTCTTTTTTTTTCTGATATTTGGTAGAAAACAGCTCTGACCTGATGTTGGCACTATAAAATCAGTTGATTGTAGTAGTTAATAAACTTCCCCAAAAGGGAAAGATTATAATTTAGCCATCCAATAAACAGAGACAATTCACTAACAACAATACATTCCAACCTCATGGTGCAGGGGATCATCAAAAGATATTAGGATTCATCCTCTAGGCACCGTGAATGTCTGTATATACTGGCATCCACCAATAGTTGAGCAATTTCATTCCAAACAGAGAGTCATCCTTGTCATATTTAAAAAAGAAATTCAAAATAGTATCTCTGACTTAATGTCATGCAGGCAAGAGGAAAATCACAAAGCCAAGAGAGAGGACTCAGCTGAGGCTGTGAACAGAACCTGAGACCTTGAGGGGTCTGAAATATTTGCCAGACCTTTTAATAAGTTGCCTAGACTTTTTTTTTAAATTATGCATCAGCAACGCCCTCAGTCTAAGTAATGATAATTGCTACACTGAGTCTGCGCCCTGTTGCTGCAAATTATGAGCAACCTGCATAATCGCTGTCATGTTGTACTAATCTTATTGTGGTATGAAAAACGGTTGCCTTGATTGCCCGGCTCTCACAATCGAGTTAAACCGCTCCGTAAATATGCCTTGGAGCAAAAGGCCAGGGGAATATAAATGTCACCCTGCGCTCATTGAATCACATTTCCATATCCTCCTCAATCTAATTCCTCCTGCCCGCAATCATTTATTCCAAGTCTACACAGCACAAAAAGAGCGGCTGAAAGCGATGTTATATAATCATTTCAGAGTAAATGCAGGTGCAACTTGAAAATGTACCATTCACTAGAAACTTGCCTCCTAGATGTTGATGTCAGCTGTTTGCTTCTAACATTCTGATAGAGGCCAATGTTCCCCGTAGGGGAAAAGAGTAGAAATCTCCCCGTTTCACTTTCCTCCAGATAAACTGTACAATAACCACTCTGTCAGTCGCCACCAGGACTGAGATTTCAATTTTGCACAGCCATCCCCAGACGCAGTCATGAGCTGACATTTGAGTTCTGCAGCAGGCAGTGAGGGTCTGCTCTGCAGTGACCCTTTGACAGCTTGCTTCTCAAACACTTTTTGAAAGGGTGAAAGATTATGCAGCAGCCCCCGGTATCCATCACTGCCAAGCAACCTGCGGCTCTTCCCTCCCGGTGCTGCCCCGCATGAGCGATGAAGCACCAGGAGCCTTCGGGCCCCTGCAGTGTTTCCCCCTCCATCACATTAACTTCCTACTTTCTGAGGCATCGCCGGTGACTCAATGGAGACTCGTTTGTTTTGGTTAACTTGCCCCGTAGCTGTGAAAAGAGAGGAAGCTCAGGAGAGGATGCAGCGGAAGAGAAATATTCTCTGCAGTCTCATTTATTTGGGCTAAGTTGGAATCTTGTTACTGTAAAAGAAAACACAGTAACAGGCTGTGGAGCTGCTGCATGTGAAGAAAAAAAAACGTGTGATGTTTTGTATCTTCATTTGATCCTAGAACCACAGAGTGAAAAAGTAGCCAACGGGAAAACAACAGAAAATAAAAAGTCAGAAAGAAAGGCGTTTCGGGTGCAGCATCTTCAAGTTCAAACCTGGGGCAGGGCTAGGGGAGGCCAAGGTTTAGGACTCCTGGTGTTACAAGTTTCCACCCTGCTGGTTATGAAGTGTGAATGATCCTTGACTCATGATGTCTTCTCTTCCTTTTCAAACAACAAAGAGGAGGCAGGGCTCTTCCTCTCTCTGTTTGGTTTAGTTCTGATGTTGTCTTATAGGTTAGAGGGAAGACATCGCATCCTTTGATCCTCCGTGGTTTAGTCTGATTTTGATGTTGTTTGTTGTGGGTGATTACTCAATCCTAAAATGTGTGCACATATAAAAAACAGAACAGTATCCTGCAGCCGCTCACTTGTCAAGTTGAATTTTGAGACTTTAGAGGCTTCAACGGTTTCTGATGCTCACCTCTTTTGATTGGTCATGTTGATCACGCCAGTCCCCAGCCTTTTTTGAAATTTCTGATCTAACCCACTTCTTGCCAGCTGAATCAGAAACTTCTATAATGCCTTTAACACACGTGAATAGTGCATTAACAATATGTAAAAGGCTTTTTGTGCTGTTTGCCACAGAGAACTGAAGTGGAAGGGCAGGCTGGAGACTGGAGTGTTCAGTCGAAGGGGCAGAGCATCAGCCCCGTGGGTCAGACGGTCGGTCGGTGTTAAGCAGGTGCATATAGGGAAGGGTGAGTTTGTACTCGGCTCAGCTCTGAGCTCAGAGAACCAGTTTTGTATGCGGAGCAGAGATGCTCACTCACTTAACTTTCCACTTGCAGATACTGCTCTGTGCACTCATATTATATGCCCGGGGATGGTTTTGGAGTTCACAAATTTTGACAATAAAGAATATACTTAAAGGTCCAGTGTGTAAGATTGGCAGAAATTGAATGTAGAATAATCCTCATGATGTTTCCACTAGTTCATCTCATCTAAATTGTAAGAACTGTAGTTTTCTTTACCCCAGAAAAGGCCCTTTATATTCAAATACTTATACTTATATTTTTATCGAGGGGACCCTCTCTACGGAAGCTGCCATGTTTTTTACATTAGTCCAAACTGGTCAAACTAAACACCTTTTGAGTTTTTATGACGACTGAAGCAACCACAGGTTCTTTTTCATTTTACACACTGTACCTTTAAGTATAAAGTGTAGACTATAGTATTAATATTAGTTTTTTTTATGTATATGCTTCAATTACTTGACCAATTTGTTTATGTGGTTGTCTTTGAGGAGAACCTTTCTGGGAGTCATAACACATTGTTTTATTTTTCAGACCAACAAGTGCTTGATTTACAAAAATAATGTGGCACAACTGTGAACAGCAGTTTTAGTTTAGACTGCCATTCTAATCTGTTTGCATTCAGCACCTGATTTAGTGAGACACATAAGCTCTTTAGGCCGATACACCATCAGTTTGTGGTCTGGACCTGGTGCTGAACCCTTGTGAGTGAAGTTGAGAACATAATCCCTGATCAAAGGGGGGGGATTTGTATGAGATCACTAAAGCTAAGACAGGAATCGAAAACTTCATGATCATGACTACAGAGTATTTTCTCTGAAGCCTAAAGAAGCTTTATTTAAAGCAACATGTGTGCAGAGGACTTTATTGAAAACACAAATTGATAACACACACTCAGGAGCAAACAATATTTTACTAAAAACAAAGTGTATCGCAGCCTTTGAAACAAATATGGATGTTTTTTTTATATCACACTTTAATGATCAGAAAATGTAAAAATATTGTGAGGAATTAAGAGACTTAGTGTTGAACAAGGCGCTTTTATGCTCTCCGCAGAAGCACAGAGACACGTATCATACAGACACATAAGCTGCTTTCAGACACGCACTGAACTGAAGATAA